AATGGGATACCAAGTTACTCCCCTCTTGTCTGCCACGTGGTAGCGTGGATGAGGGAAAGATGTCCTTCTCCCATTGCCCCTCGAGACCTGCAGCAGATGGGCGACCTGACCCAACCCCTCACCATCTGCAGCACTCTGGGGAATGGGCCCTCTTCCTCACCTGGGCAGCACAGTAGAGTCAACCCTGTAGACAGGGGCACGGGTGATCAGGCCCTGAGGGTGTGAGAGGGGCGTAGCTGATATTGCTTACCTAGTCTGTAGTGTGGTGGTGGGGATGAGGGAGAGATGTCCTCCCAATTTGCCCCTACTGCCTCCAGCTGATGAGGGAAGCTAACCTTCCCCTTTACCCTAGTTGCAACACTCAGGAAAGCTGGCCCTGCAACTCTGTCTTGGAAGCACAGAGGAGATGACCCTGTTAACAGAGCACAGATTAGCCAGCCCTGAGAATGTAGGTGAGGGAGATCTGGCCCTGCCCCTCATCTGCCATAAGGTGGTGTGGGTAGGGAAGAGATGCTCCCTGCCCCACCTGTGGCAGGTGGGAGAATGGAGGTCGTAAGAACAGGAGAGCTGTCCCTGTCTCTCATCAGCTTCCACTTGGGAGAGTGGCCCCTGTACTTTGCCTGGGCAATACAGTAGAGCTGGCCCTGAAGGTGTAAGGAGAGTCAACCCTGATCGCCTGAAAGCAGAATTGGCCCCTCCCCTTGCTCAACTCTGTAAGGAAACTAGTCGGAGGCAGAGGGGGCGGGGAAGGACAGGACACTAGCCAGGGCAATGCTAGGGAGTTCACCCTGGTGGAGAAGACAGGGGAGAGCAGGTGGGTTGAGCAAACCTGCAGCTATCCAGGCCCAGATCTGCTAGAGCACATAAAGGGGCCGGTCCTGAAAACCCCAAGCTGCAGGATCTCCAAGACACAGGGCTACACAAGATGCCCAAGAAGAGTCCCAGCGAGGGTCAAGCATTGATGGCGTAGTAGGAACCAGAGGCCTCAAACCGGACCAATGACTCTTTGCAATGAACACTTGCAAGTAAAGATATATGGACCAAGGGGTTTGCTGTGTAACTCACTGTGTCACACTACAGCTCCCATGATAAGATTTTTAATTTTTTCCCTTTTTTCTCTTAAATCTTATTTTATTTTATTTTGGAGGGGAAGTTTCAAGGGCAGAGGGTGGATACAAAGGGTCAGGAAATGAACAGGATCACGATGCATAATATGAAAAAATAAATAAAAAGAAAGTTTAATAAAACAAAAACAAAAACAAAGTGTTAGATATGATGGTACATGCCTTTAACATCTATACTTTGGATGCTAAGACAGAAAGATTGCCATGAGTTTGAGGCCAGCCTGGGATAGACATTGATTTCTAAGACAGTTAGAGCTATGTAGTAAAACCCTGTCTCAAAACACCACACACACACACACACACACACACACACACACACACACACACACATACACACACACTGTCATCCACAACAAGAGAAACAGAGCCAGTGTCCTTTAATGAAAGGCAGTATAGTTCATCCTTTCTCATTTTCCAAATGCAATGCCCAGGAGAGTTTAAAAATCTTAGGTCAGTAAAAGAGAGAAGAATAAGAATAAGAACAAGAATAGGAGGGGGAGAAAGACAGGAGAAGGGATGGAATGCAGTCAACAAACACATTGGGAGTTATAAGAAAGAAAGACAAGTAATTAAATAGGGTAACATGGAAATTGTAGAACTGAAGTCAAAGTTTCTTAAATATAAAACAGATAGGCCTAACAACAGATTAAAGTTCTGTGAAAAAGTGTAAAACAGTCAATGAACTTCATGATAAACAGATAATACAGAAGAAAAAACAGAAAGAAAAAATAAAAGAATAAAGTCCTGTCTACACTCTTTCACAGTATCTACTATGAAGAATTGAACTATGAAAGGATGAACCTAAAACATAATAGGGAAAACAATTAGTTAAGTCAACAAAGGCCAGAATTTCTCCAAATTTGTTGCAAAATGAAGTTTAAGATTTCAGAAACTCAGAAAATACCGAGAAACTTAAATAGAAGGAAATGTAGAATGGTTACTACAGGGCAAGGTAGGATGAAACAAATGATGGCTTCACGAGGTTAGGAAGAACGCCAGAGTATAGGATGAGGCTGGAGGGCTGAAAGGAAAAAAGTCTATAATTTTATATCCATCAAATATTCAAATATAACTATATAGTTGTTAGACTAATAACACTAGAAATGATTTTTTTCTAGATAACCTACACTAGAATAAAAGCTAATGAAAGCTATTCTCTTTAAAGGGAAAACTTTAATATTAAAAAGAGAACACTCTAAATTCCAAATATTTGTGCAGATAGTAAAACTATTTTCCTAAATAAAATACTATAAGTTTTGATAAGTGTGACAAAACATTGTATCGTGGGACTACTACATGCACAGAAGTAAAATTTATGAAAAAATATAACATGCAATTGGGAACTGTTGAAATTGTATCATGGTATGCTTTAGGCAAAGTGGTACAATGTTAATTCAAATTGGATAATAGTAATATGCAGATTAAAACTGAATAATTTAATATTTAGCCATGAAGAAGAAAGTCAATACCGAACAGAGGAAATAGAAAAATGAATACTTTAAGAAAGCCTGAGTGACTTACTCCCCATAAGGAAAAACATATGACCTTTTTAATAATTAATCAATTACAGAATAAATACAAAACAGAAAGCACAGTTGAGGGTTATTAACTAAACCATATTAATAATTATCAGCTTCTCTGAAAGTCAGAGATTTCCAGACTCTATACAATAGGAAGTCTCAAGTAACCTTTTCGTCATCTCACCTACTAAGTTCCTTCACTTTTTAAAAATATTAGTTTGAAATAGCTATTGATTTAGATATAGACCCTGATTTAAAATGGCAAAAATAGTGTTTAGTTGCTTGCTCTTGGTCATCACCTTTGGTACAGTAGGCTAGGGAGGTCAGTAGAAGAACAGTAATAGCGTGAAAGGGGCAGAGGCAGCCACAGTGACACGCAGACAGTGGCAGTTGTAAAAATTAGCTGGGCAGATGAGATGATGGGGAGGAAAGGTGACAAACAAGGGCTGTGCAAAGCTAGAGATGTTAACTATGGGTCTTGGCTACTGAAAAAGAGCCGGGGAGCTGCCAAGCCCTCATAGTGAAGAGCCCCAAATACCCTTAGCCCCAGAGCTGTCTTACTAGCTGCTATCCAAGAATAAGAATGGTGATGCCCTATGCAAAAGCAGAGGCTCCTCACATGCTAGAATAATGCCAGTCATTGTAGGGCTGAGAGCTCTCAGTCTGTCTGGTAGCTAGCTATAAGTATAGTAGATAGTGCTTGCTGCTGCTTATTACTGTATATTGCTTCCACTTACTGCTATGGAAAACTGGATTTCAATAGGCTGTCAGATGCCAGGGCCACTGGTAGTTAAAGTCCACAGCAACCTGACTCCTAATTAATGTCCACAGTCACAATCTGGACTTCTTAATCAGGAGTGATAGGCACTTAGGTCTCAGAGTTTAGAGTGCTAAGCCTTTGGGTCTGCCAGTGTATCAGCTAGACTTCAGATGCTCAAAGGGCTGGAAATGCCAAAGTTGGGAGAGCATATTCTCATGTACCCATGATCAAGATAAAGTAAAATGACACCTGCCAGCTGGTCAGTAATGCCTGGATCCATCGAATAATGTGTGATTGGGAACATTTTATGCTCTAACACTTTGGGCACTTTGGGTGGTTTTGATGCATAGCCAAATTCAGAAATTTTCTGTCATCTCAGGATGGTTGGAGGGGAATTCACTGACTCTTTTAATGTGCAGCTCTTCCTAATGAGACTTGAGCATAAATGAAACAATGACAGCCATTGGACATAGACTATGAGATGAGACCTGATAGTTAAGGCTATATCTCAGTTGGTAGAGTGCTTGCTTATCGTGTACAATACCTTGGGTGTAATCTTCAGCACCATATAAATGGGGCCTGGTGGCACAGGCTTTTAATTCCAGAATTTTGGAGGTAGAGGTAGTAGGATCATAAATTTAAGGTTAATCTCAGGCACGTAATGAGTCTGAAGGAAGTCTGGAATGCCAGAGGATGGGGAGATACGTTGCAGAAAGACATCTTCTGGACATGACATAGCCATTGCATGCCTTCATGGACTTACTGAATTTGTGGTTACCTGTTCAGTCCCTATACAAGTTTAGACATGTAAACACATCATCTTGGATGGGGGAGAGGCCCATGAGGTCCCATCTCTCCTTGAAGAAGTATTGGTAACTAAAGATTATTGGAGGAGAGGTTGCCATCTTCCGTGACATAACTATGAAAAGTGTACTATTATGCAGTAAATTACCCATACCTGACATTGCTTGTGTGACCAAGAACCTGAGACTAGAGAGCCAAGAGACCTAGTTCTCTACTACTGTTACAAACAAACAAACAAACAAACAAACAAACAAAAGTAACAATAAAATGACCCCCTAAGGATATTCTGCCATTCTTACACATTGGGTTGTGTTTTTTTTTATTTATTTAAGACATGTTTTTATTCATTTTACATACCAACCACCACAGATCCCCTTCTCATCCTTCTGTTTGCTCCCCGCCCCAGCCTCCCCACTCTGACTCACCTCCCATCCTCTCTTTCAAAAGAGTAAAACTACCCATGGGGAGTCAGCAAAGCCTGGTACATTCCAATGAGGTAGGACCAAGCCCCTCCCTGCTGCATCAAGGGTGAGCATAGGTAATGGACTCCAGAAAGCCAGCTCATGCAGCAGGGATAGATCCTGATCACACTGCCAGAGGCCCCTCAAACAGACCAAGCTGCAGAGCTGTCTCCCATATGTAGAGGGTCTAGTCCGGTCCCATCCATGTTCCACAGCTGTCAGTCTAAAGTTCGTGAGTACCTATAAGCTTGATTCAGTTGTCTCTGTAGATTTCCCCATCATGATCTTGACCCCACTTGCTTATATAATCCCTCTTTCCTCTCTTTGACAGGACTCCCAGAACTTGACCTCGTGCTTGGTTGTGGATATCTGCACCGGCTTCCAACAGTTACTGGAGGAAGGCTCTCTGCTGACAGGGTATTCAGCAATCTGATTATCCTGGTAGGTCAGTTCAGTCACCCTCTTCACTATTGCTAGTAGTCTAATCTGGGGTCATCCTTGTGGATTCCTGGGAATGTCCCTAGTACCAGGTTTCTTCCTTACCCCATGATGTCTCCCTCTATCAAGATATCTCTTTCATTGCTCTCCCACTTCATTTCTCCCCCAGCTCGACCATCCTGTTCCCTCATGTTCTCATCCCCCATCTTCTACCCTCTATTGCCCCCCCCATCCCCAGTTTACTCATGGATATCTCATTTGTTTCCCCTTCCCAAGGCTATCCATGCATCCCTCTTAGGGTCGTCCTTGTTTCCTAGCTTCTCTGGAGCTGTGGGTTGTAATATGATTATTTTTTGCTTTACATCTAGTATCTGCTTTTGAGTGAGTACATACCATGTTTGTCTTTCTGAGTCTGGGTTACCTCACTCAGGATGAAATTTTCTAGTTCCATCCATTTGCCTGAAAATTTCATGATGTTATTTATTTTTATTTTTATTTTAGTGCTGAGTAGTAGTACTCCATTGTGTATATGCACCACATTTTCTTTATCCATTCTTCAGTTGAGAAGCATCTAAGTTGTTTCAAGGTTCTGGCTATTACGAATAATGCTGCGATGAATATAGCTGAGCAAGTGTCCTTGTGGCATGATGGGCATCCCTTGGGTGTATGCACAAGAGTGGTATCATTGGGTCTTGATCATTGGGTAGATTGATTCTGAATTTTCTGAGAAATTGTCATACTGATTTCCAAAGTGGCTCTACAAGTTTACACTCCCACCAACAGTGGAGGAGTCTTCCCCTCACTTCAAATCCTCTCCATCATAAGCTGTCATCAGTGTTTTTGGTGTTAGCCATTCTGACAGATACAGATGATATCTTAGAGTCATTTTGATTTGCATTTCCCTGATGACTAAGGATGTTGAACAATTCTTTAAATGTCTTTCGGCCATTTGTGATTCTTCTATTGAGAATTCTCTGTTTAGATGTAGTCCATTTTTTTAATTGAATTGTTTGGTATTTTGATGTCTAGTTTCTTGAGTTCTTTACATATTTTGGAGATCAGCCCTCTGTCAGATGTGGTGTTGGTGAAGATCTTTTCCTGTTCTGTAAGCTGTCATTTTTTTTTTCTTATTTACCATGTTCTTTACCTTACAGAAACTTCTCAGTTTCAGGAGGTCCCATTTATTAATTGTTGCTTTCAGTGTCTGTGCTATTGGTATTATATTTAGGAAGTGATCTCCTATGCCAATGCATTCTAGGCTGCTTCCTACTTCCTCTTCTATCAGGTTAAGTGTAGCTGGATTTATGTTGAGGGCTTTGATCCACTTGGACTTGAGTTTTGTACATGACAATAGATATGGACCTATTTGCAGTCTTCTACATGTTGACATCCAGTTATGCCACCACAATTTGTTGAAGATGCTTTTTTTATTACATTGTACAGTTTTGGCTTCTTTGTCAAAAATCAGGTATTCATAGGTGTGTGTGTGTGTGTGTGTGTGTGTGTGTGTGTGTGTGTGTGTGTGTGTGTGTATTAATGTCGGGCTCTTCAATTTGATTTCACATGTCAGTTTTTATGTCAATACCAAGCTGTTTTTATTACTATAGCTCCATAGTAGAGCTTGAAGCTAGGGATGGTGATGCTTCTAGCAGTTGCTTTATTGTAAGGGATTGTTTTAGCTATCCTAGGTTTTTTTGTTTTTTTCCATATGAAGTTGAATATTGTTCTTTTGAGGTCTGTGAAGAATTGTGTTGGAATTTTGATGGGGATTGCATTGAATCTGTAGATTGCTTTTCAATAGATTGACATTTTTATTATGTTGGTTCTACCTACCAATGAGCATGGGAGATTTTTCCATTTTCTCATACCTTCTTCAATTTCTTTCTTCAAGGACTTAAAGTTCTTGTCATACAGGTCTTTCACTTGCACGGTTAGAGTTACCCCCAAAGTATTTTATATTATTTGTGGCTATTGTAAAGGTTGATGTTTCTCTGCTTTCTTTCTCAGACTGTTTATCATTTATATATAGGAGGGCTACTGATTTTTTGAGTTAATCTTGTATTCTGCCACATTACTGAAGGTGTTTATCAGTTGTAGGAGTTCCCTGGTAAAATTTTTAATATCACTTATATATACTATCATATCATCTGCAAATAGTGAGAGTTTGACCTCTTCATTTCCATTTTGTATCCCTTTGATCTCCTTTCTTTGTCTTAATGCTCTAGCTAGAATCTCGAGTACTATATTGAATAGGTATGGAGAGAGTGGACAGCCTTGTCTTGTTCCTGATTTAGTGAAATAAAATAAAACAACTTAATTTAATGTTGGCTGTAGGCTTGCTGTAAATTGTCTTTATTATGTTTATGTATATTCTTGTATTCCTGATCTCTCCAAGACTTTTGTCATGAAGGTGTGTTTGTCAAAGGCTTTATCAGCATCTAATGAGATGATCATGTGTTTTTTTTTTTCATGTGTTGAACCATCCCTGCATCTCTGGGATGAAACCTACTTGATCATGGTTGATGATTTTTTTTGGACGTGTTCTTGGATTCGGTTTGCCAGTATTTTATTGAACATTTTTGCATCAATGTTCATGAGGGAGATTGGTCTGTAGTTCTCTTTATTGCATCTTTTGTGGTTTGGGTATCAGGATAACTGTAGCCTCATAGAAAGAGTTTGGCAATGGTCCTTCTGTTTCTATTGTATGGAACAATTTAAGGAGTATTAATATTAGCTTGTCTTTGAAGTTCTGGTAGAATTATGCACTGAAACCATCTGGCCCTGGGCTTTTTTTGGTTGAGAGACTTTTTAATGATTGCATCTAGGGGTTATCGGTCTATTTAAGTTGTTTATCTGGTCTTGATTTAATTTGAGTATGTGGTACCTATCCATAAAATTGTCCATTGTTTTTAGATTTTTCAATTTTATGAAGTATAGGTTTTTCGAAGTATGACTTGTTGATTTTCTGTATTTCCTTGTTGTCTGCTGTCATATTGCCCTTTTCATTTCTGATTTTGTTAATTTTGATATTCTCTCTGTTCCTTTTAGTTAGTTTGGATAAGGGTTTTTCTATCTGTTGATTTTCTCAAAGAACCAACTCTTTGATTCATTGATTTGTTTCTATTTTATTGATTTCATCCCTCAGTTTGGTTATTTCCTGGCATCTACTCCTCCTGAATATGTTTGCTTCATTTTGTTCTAGAGCTTTAAGTGTGCTGTTAAGTTGTTAGTGTGAGATTTCTCCAACTTCTTTATGTAGGCACTTTAAGCTATGAACTTAGCTCTTAGCACTGCTTTAATAGTGTCCCATAAGTTTGATTATGTTATGCATCCATTTTCATTGAATTCTAGGAAGTCTCTAATTTCTTTCTTTATGTCTTCCTTTACCCAGTTGAGCATTATTTAGTTTCCATGAGATTGTAGGCTTACTCTAATTTGTATTGTTCTTGAATTCTAACTTTAAGCCATGATGGTCTGATAAAATACAAGAGGTTATTCCAATTTTTTGTATCTATTGAGATTTGCTTTGTGACCAAGTATGTGTTTAAGTTTAGAGAAGGTTACACTGAGAAAAAAGTATTTCTTTTTGTGTTTGGGTGAAATGTTCTGTAAATGTATATTAAGTTCATTTGAGTCATAACATCTGTTAGTTCCCTTATTTCTCTGCTAAGTTTTTGTCTGACAGACCTGTCCATTGGTGAGATTGGGGTGTTGAAGTCTCCCACTATTAGTGTGTGGGGTTTGATGTGCACTTTAAGTTTCAGTAATGTTTCTTTTACATATGTGGGTGCCATTGCATTTAGGGCATAAATGTTCAGAATTGAGAATTCATCTTGATGGATTTTTTCCTGTGATGAATATGTAATAGCCTTCTCAATCTCTTTTGATTAATTTTAGTTTGAAGTCTGTTTCATTGGATATTAGGATAGCTACACCAGCTTGCTTCTTAAGTCCATTTGATTGGAAAGTCTTTTCCCAACACTTTACTCTGAGATATTGTCTGTCTTTGAAGGTTGAGGCATGTTTCTTGTATACAGCAGAAGGATGGATCCTGTTTTCATATCCATTCTGTTAGCCTATATCTTTTTATAGGTGAATTGAGTTCATTGATATTAAGGAATATTAATGACCAGTGACTGTTAATTTCTGCTAATTTTGGTGGTAGTGTGTGTGTGTGTGTGTGTGTGTGTGTGTGTGTGTGTGTGTTTCCCTTCTTTGGGATTTGTTGCTGTGGGATTATCTATTTCCTGTGTTTTGGGGCACATCTAACTTCCTTAGGTTGGATTTTTTTCTTCTAGTGCTTTCTGTAGGGTTGGATTTGTGGATAGGTATTGTTTAAATCTGGCTTTGTCATGGAATATCTTGTCTACACCATCTATGGTGATTAAGAGTTTTACTGGGTATAATAGTGTGGGCTGGCATGCGTGGTCTCTTAGTGTCTGTATAACATCTGTCCTGGAACTTCTGGCTTTCAGAGTCTCCATTGAGAAGTCATGCATTATTCTGATGTGTCTGCCTTTATATGTTACTTGGCTTTTTTCCTTTGCAGTTCTTAATATTCTTTCTTTATTCTGTATGTTTAGTGGTTTGATTATTATGTGGTGAGGGGACTTCTTTTTTTTTTTTTTTTTGGTCCAGTCTATTTGATGTTCTATAAGCTTTTTGTGTATCTATAGCATTTACTTCTTTAGGTTGAGAAAGTTTTCTTCTTTGATTTTATTGAATATATTTTCTGTGCCTTTGAGCTGGTATTCTTCTCCTTCTTCTATCCCTATTATTCTTAGGTTTGGTCTTCTCATGGTGTCCCAAACTTCCTGGCTGTTTTGTGTTATGACTTTGTTGGCTTTAATGTTTTCTTTGATGGACAAATCTGCTTCCACTATTGTATCTTCAATGCTAGAGAGTTTGTCTTCCATCTCTTGCATTCTGTTGGTTATGCTTGCATCTGCAGTTCCTGTTCATTTCCTCAGATTTTCCATTTCCAGCATTCCCTCAGTTTGTCT